GATTGAGGAAGGGAGAGGGTCCCATTCATGCAGGTGGGAAGTGGTGATGAAGCTAGTGGATGAGGGAGTTTGGAGATAGGAAACTTAAGAGCCTGTAAGAGTGCGTTCTTGGCTAAATGACTTTGGTATTTCCATCATGAGGAACTTCCTCTAGGGGGGCTAACTCTGATGGGAGATGTCATAAAGAAAAATGGAATCTAGGTGCCTTGGAGTTGGAAAAACTTATGAAAAAGAAAATTAAGGCTTTCGTTAAAAAATGGTTATGGAGACTCTACATATGGTGTTGAGATGCTGGAAACTTTTCATTACCATGTGAGCTTGGTCGGATGGATATGTTACCTGTTCCTTTCCTAGAGCGAGATTCTTATTTACTATCTCAAAAAAAAAAAAAAAAAAAAAAAAAAAAAAAAAAAAAAAAAAAAAAAAAAAAAAAAAAAAAAAAAAAAAAAAAAAAAAAAGTCTCTACAAGTGCTGCATAGTTGAAGAATACAAAAGACAACATTTCTGTCTAAATTACAAATTGAAAAAAAAATTGTAAGGTTCTATATGTGTCGTTATTTTGAATTGCAGGGCAAGTATGTCACTAGTAGAAACTTAAGGGATCGACTCTACCGGGAGCTTGAGCGTAATTTGGCAATGAAAGTTGAAGATGGTGAAACAGCAGATACGTTCATTGTTAGTGGTCGGGGTACTTTGCATATCACAATACTTATAGAGAACATGTAAGAATTTCATATTCAGGATGATCCACCTTTTCTTGTATGCTTCCTCTAATGACTAATAAGTTCATTCATTTTAGGCGGAGGGAAGGATATGAATTTATGGTGGGGCCTCCTAGAGTAATAACAAAAAGGGTGAATGACCAATTGGTGGAACCATATGAGGTGAGTTTCTAATTGTTATATGATGCAGGACAGTGTTGGAAAATTTTAATGGGATTGATTCACTGCTAAATTTTTTAAGTTTTAAGTTCTGTAGATTATACAGGATTTAAAAATAGTGAATACTGGAATAGAATACACTGTTTGAAGAGGAGTTTGCAGGTTTTTTAGAATAAAAATTCTGTGAAAACATACTTGGATAACTATTTTAAAAAGTTATTATTATTTTCCTTTTGTTCTCCTAGAGCATGTTTTTGAGGACCACCCTATTAAAATCTTATTAAGATTAGGATTTCAAGATACAGTGGACTTCGAGTATGTCCAAGATTGTAACCAATACACAAAGTCTAATAGTTTACCAAATCAGAAAACTGAAATTTAATAATAATGTAATGTATAAAATACAGTAAACACTTTTCTTTGGCTCCTTATTGTAATCCTGCGTTGAACACATTTGATTTGAAGATAGGGAAAAAAAAAATCCATTATGAAAATCGTTAAGAATGAATCTATAAAGTAGATTGTCAAAGCACTTTTATTTTAATACAATTTCCATATGAATCTTGTTTTGCATCTAGTCTTCTTAAATGCACGTGCTTCATCTTTTGAACAGTATTTCTTACTGTGAGACATTTGATTGACTTCTTATATCAGTGACATTCATAATCATAACAAGTAAAACTGCCATGCAGATTGCCACTGTGGAAGTACCAGAAGAACACATGGGATCAGTTGTAGAACTGTTGGGCAAGAGGCGTGGACAGATGTTCGATATGGAGGGTGTGGGGTTTGTACACGTCTCTTTGATTTCTGTTCCCCCAAACTAAACATTGGCACGGTGATGTGATTTGATAATACTTTCAACAATGTCATCATACGAACTGATGATCAGAGAATTAGTAGCTTGACTAATGTGTTGAGTTTGATAACACAATGACTTGACAATCAACATGACATACCTGTAGTATCGTGAGCTTAGATTTATGTTCACAAATAGGTGACATCCAGTTACTGTAGTTAAACAACTCATCTCATTGTTAAAACTCTATCTAGGAGAGGCCTGTATCACAAATTTAATAGTGGACGGTGGCATACTGTTGCTGTTACTGCGACTTACTAATCCACATGCATAGCATATTTACATTCTGATGATGTTAAATAATGTATATACTATGCTAAAGGATATTTTATCAAAATTGTGCTCTATTATTCAAGAATCAAGTACATTTTCTATGTGCAGTCTTTACCTACAACGAGAAAGGGCCATAAGTGAATTTTACTTTTGTTACTTAGACCAATTTTAATTCTTCTAATTTCTATCAATACCTATTTCCAGGTCTGAAGGGACGACTTTTCTGAGATATAAGATTCCAACTCGGGGGCTTCTTGGATTGAGAAATGCAATTTTAACAGCTTCACGTGGCACAGCAATTCTCAACACAATATTTGATTCTTACGGACCTTGGGCTGGTGACATTCACACTCGTGATCAGGGTTCACTGGTAACTTAATTATCTTATTACTTGAATTATTATTACTTGAATTATTTTGATGGGGGGCTTTAACTATTGCTTTAAATATTTGGGGGTTCCATGTGTGAAGAATTATTTTCTGTCATGTTCTGTATTTGTTCTTGTTTGGTTTTGGCGGTAGAATGTTGAAAAGTTTTCCTGTAGCCTCTCTCGTGCTTTCACGGCCTTTCTTCTTGCGTTCAAATCTTTTTTATTCGAACTGTTGTTTCTCTTGCTTATTACAAAAAATTAAATAAAAAAATGCTGCTTTGATGTGTTTTGCTTGGTTAAAAAATTACGGCTGTAGCCAGTAAGAGACCTTGTGAATTAATGTGAGGGAAATTTGTCTCACTCCCCCCCATATATCTGCAGTCTTTTAATATATTTATATTCTATTTTGATCCCCTGAACTTCATGTTTATATGTTTTGATCCATTTTCAATATTTTGATTTGTTCTTTCAACTTTGAAATGTTTTGTTTTAGTCTATGTTAGTCCTAACCATTAGTTTTCCATTAATCAATAAACAATAACTCTAATACATAGACTTGATACCTAATTTATTACATGTGGCTTCAAACGATAAACATCTACTGATTGGTAAATGAATAAAAGATATATTTATATCAAATTTCTGCTTGGTAATTTATTAAATAAAATTAATGGCAAGATTTTGACCAATTGTATGAAATTCTAAGGATCGACATAGAATGCATAGAAGTCTAGAGACAAAAACAGGAATTAAACCTTTAATATTCCGAAACACAACTTATTTTTAACTCTTGCAATGCTATCTTTTTTATCTTCTGAAAATTTATGATGAAGGATATGTAATAAAAAAAAAAAAGCGTGTGTTATACTTTGACTCGTCGAAAAATTAAATAACGCCTGATGAAGCTGCTGCGAATGATTTTTCAGGTTGCTTTTGAGGAAGGCACAACAACATCTTATGCCCTTGCTAGTTCACAGGAGAGAGGGCAGATGTTTGTGAGTCCCGGCTTAGATGTTTACAAAGGTCAAATAGTTGGAATTCATCAACGGCCTGGGGACTTATCCCTTAACGTGTGCAAGAAAAAAGCTGCCACAAACGTTCGCTCCAACAAAGAACAAACAGGTGAGAACAACTCGATCACCTCAATTATTTTTTTAATGTTCAGGTTAGAGTTTTACCTCCGCTTTAATTCTTCACTCAAAAATAGATATTGCACTTAGAATCCTCCTCACCTGCCACCATTACAAACTCCTCTCTTAGGGTACGGGTACTATTAATCAGATACTTTTTGTCTATTAGAAACAGTGTTTGATTACGTAATCAATAATTATTCAGAAAAATATGAAGACAAGTTAAAAGCACCTTAAAATGAATTTGTTATTAGAAAATTTAACCGTGAAGTAGCGGTAGAGACTTAAGATTTATTGAATGCACATGGACTAAATATGAACATATAAAGGTTTAAAAGAGAACAAGTCCCAAAGTGCCTGGACCAAAATGATATTTAACCTATCAAATACTTGGAAAAAATTCTTCTATATTCATTTTAGAAATATAAGAGATGAAGTTACACTAAATAATTTTTTTTGCCTTTTTGCAGTGGTTCTTGATACCCCATTGGATTATAGTTTAGATGACTGTATTGAGTACATTCAAGAAGATGAACTGGTTGAAGTCACTCCCTCGAGCATCCGAATGTGCAAAAATGCAAAACTTACGAAGAAAACAAGGTAGATATTTGTGACCGAGAAACTTCACAGTCCGAAAAACGCGGTTATGATAGTCTCTATACTGCAGCAATATTTGTTTGAATTCATAAGCTTTAACAGAGCTTTTAGTCAATACTAAATGGTTTAAGCATCAAGCTACCATCTACAATAGTTTGTATTATTTGTACATAAGAGAGGACAAGACATTACCATCCAAAGGGGTGATTGATTGGTAGAAACTAGAAAGTGAACCAGCCTCCTTTTTCCCTTATATTTTGATGTAATTTTGACCTCTGCTGTTGCTTGGAGGTTTCCTTGGCTCCAATCATATCATATTAGTCTATTTTTACTTTTGCAATATGCTTGTTTATTTGCACGCAATGTCTTGTTTTGTTTTGTTTTGATTTGATTTTGCATACTTTATAGCCAAATGAGTATTAAAGAAATTTGATGAAGTATTGATGATAGCTAATTTAGTGCTTATGATATGTGATTATTTCTGTTTAGTTCTGAGTATTAACCTTTGAACATAACTTCACTTTGATTCCTATAATTTAAAATTTTTAAATTTAGTTCTCTCTCGAACAATCATTACCAATGCAATATTAGCATTTTTTTTCTATTGACTGTGAGTAATATTTTTATTTGATCTATTGTATGAGTCAACTATATTAAGAGTCTAGGGTTGAGTAAAAAAATATAATGAAATAAATACGTGTTTCGAGTAGATAAAAAACCGTTTAAACTAAGATGATTTATGAGGTTTTGGTAGAGACTACATTAAAATTAGAATCATAGCAATTAAAAAAGAAATTAAGTCTGAAACGGAAAAATTATATAATTCAACTATATATCTATTACTATGCAAAAAGATGATCGTTGGAGATCAATTATTCACCCGTGACAACTAAAAGAAGTCTGATAAAGACAAACTCGTATAAACACATAGACTAATTGCCCATTTCTTACTTACAAGTTCTTAAACTAAAACCAACCAGAAACCAAGATTTGATCTTGGTAGAGAACGATGTATAATATAGCTTTCCTTTGTTCTCTCAAGTAAAAGAAAAATGTAAATCTGTTTATGGAGGGTTTTGATTATCCATCTCCTTAATTAATTACAAAGAGAGACGAATTCCAACTGCTGTCATCAAAAGAGAGAGGAATTCAGAAGAAGGAGCGCTTGGCTGGTGGCCTTCCAACTGCTCTCATCAAGTTTGATATTTCAATGACCTTCGCAACTTTTGTTCCCCTCTTGGCTTCAGCTGATGCTCTTCTTTCCTCTGCTTTTCTGCGCGCCTTCGCCACTTCATTCTCCATCTTTTCAAGCGCTTTTGCTCTCCTCTCTTCCAACCTCCTCTGCACATATTCAAATTCTCACTTCATCCCATTCATAATGTATGAATCATGGAACTATATGTTCATTCTTTTTAACTTTCAAATTTTCATGTTATTTTTATTTAACTTAATCATCTACTATGAAAACTCTTATCTAAATTAAGGGTTAAATTTGTTTATTAGATAACATAGTTTCTCAACACATTTTGTATCAAATTAATGATTTGAATAATATGTCTCACTATAACAAACAAAGTGTGGCAGAATTTAAAGTGAACAGCTGAGTTTAAAACTAAATTGTTCTACATTCCAGAAGCACACTATTAGTTTCACAAAAAATTTAGAAATCAAAACTGATTTTCACTTCTTGTAGTAGATGATGCGTTAGGTTTCAAATGAATCTAGACTTGTATTGAAGAATCAACCAAAGGAATTTTTCAAAAAAGGACAGTAAAACTAAACGTGTTTTTTTACTCAGATTTTAGAGAGAGAAAAATAGAATATTGAAAAGGTGAAAAAGTAGAATGAAATAGGAAGGAAAGTTGTGGTTGAAAAGTGAATCAGGTTGAAAAAAACGTTCACATGTTCAACCACACACTCATGCAATAACTAATTGATCATAAATGACCTCTAAAAACAAAGTAGAGCAATTAATTATTGAATCAATCTATCAACTAACACAACGCATTTCTTCAAACAGAAATCGCCATTTTCAATTTCAAATCACGTACCTGAACCTTCTTCATCCACGAAGATGCCTTCTGAACCTGCTCCCTCTCCCATCCACTGATCACTGCATCTTCTCTCTTGAACCGATTGTTAATCTTTGCAATCTTCGCGTTCTGCCATGCGCTAATCTTCGTCTCCACCTCCTCCTTCTTCACCATCTGCAACGAAATCTCTCTTGTCGCTGCTGCTCCTCCGCCGCTACTGTTCTCCTGTCTCGTGATTGACGACGGCGTTAATTGATCATCAAACGGATGACCGTCCGGTACGATCGCCAACGGATTCGTCTCCTCCTCAGGCGTAGCCTGATCTTCCTCTCCAATCCTGCTCAAGTTATTCGGAGCTTCGTTAATCGGCCGGTCCTGGCGATAACCGTCGCCGATCTCCGCGCCGGCGATCACCAGAGCATTGAACTCTCTACTTATGGAAGTAAAATTCTCACTGGAAGCGCCTTCGCTCGCCATTGAAGTCGATCTCTGGCTCGCCGTTTCCCAAGCCTCTCCGCGGCGGTTCCGATTCTCCGTCACCGGCGGTGGTCGTGTGGGAGTCAGAGCGTGGATTTCGCGGATTTGATCTTCATCGTCTCCGCCATGAGTAGGTCTGGAGGTTCCTGCTGGTAGTGCTTGATCGTTGAACATGGTGGAAATTGAAGAAATGCAGAGAGTGTTTTTATGAGTAATGAGAAGATTTTGAGTGAAGGAAGGGGGAAAGAGAGAAAAAGTCCCTTTGAGAATATAATTCCAAAATGAATAATTTGTTTGATTTGAAATTTGGGAATTATTAGCCACAAAATGTATTACGTGGAACACATTCCAATCAAAAATATCAAAATTATTATTTTACTTTTCTTCCTTAATTTCTTTTTTCTCTCTTTGTTTTTTTTCCTCCGATTATTCTTTTTATTTTTAAAATATATTTCCTTCATTTTTAATCTGTTTTTTTAAATAAAAAATGGAGAAAAGATGGGTAGAATTTTGGCTTAAAAAAGGGGGTTAGGCCACCTTACGAGTTAGAATGCAAGTGTCTGGAAACATCTCCCTATCAAATGCGTTTTAAAATCATGAGACTACGGCGATATGCAATGGGCCAAAGTATATAACATTTGTTAGTAGTGTGTTTGGACGGTTACAAATGGTATCAGAGCCAAACACTGAGTGGTATGCCAATGAAGAAGAGAAGTGGATTGTGAGATCTCACATGGTTTGAAAATGATAACGAAAATTGCTTATAATGATTGATGACGATCTGTAACAGGTTAAAATAGACAGTATTTACTACCGGTCGGCTTGGCTCTTACATAGAAACTTATTCACATTGTATTTGTGACCCCCAAAACACACATGAATGAATTGATATCACATACCAATGAGCGAGAAAGATATTTGAGATAGAATGTCTAAGAAATGTTGGAGCAAAAAAGTGTTTTAGTTCAGACAAAGCTATGACCGAGAGAATAGAACCAAATTTATTAACCTATCTGTTATATTTAAAACTAAGAAATATCTCAATGTGGCGCTTTGTCCCATAACTACACAAACTTACAAACCTAAATACATTTTAATTAAGTGAAAGATAAAGGGTGTGGTTGTAAATAATGGGAATTTAATATAAAATATATATTATTCTTTATAATTGCTTTAAAATGTCTATTTCAATAAATAAATAAAAAATAATAATGCAAAGTAATGATTATATTTGATTTAATAATGTTGATAAATTTATTATAAAAATTAAAAAGATAATGCAATATACTTCGACTAAATCAATCTTTTTTTTTTTTTTGAAGTATTAATAAATCTTCGTTTAGTGTCGGCTGGACTAAGGGAAGCTGGAGCCCACCAGTATTAAGTTTTAGTGTCATTAAACCACTCAGAGATCAGCACGTGTCAAGAAAAGCAACGTTATTTCACTACAAAAGACGTGGCAGTAAGTCGCTGGAGTTGGGCCCACAATGAAGGCTCTTTCCATGCAAGGGTTGATTTAGACTACCACTAAATGCCACGTGTACGGTGGAAAAACGGGTATAGCTCGGTTTCCGTGGTGGACACGGCACACGTGGCTTTAGACTGTAAAATATATATTTAAAAATATATTTTTTTTTGGTGAGATAAAAAAGGAAAAGGGAAAACGACAAAAATATAGTTAATTTATGTACTTGGACATTTTCCCATTACGCGGAGATAATTTAAATTTTTTGTATGGTTCCAATTGGAATGTGACACGTGGGTGATTGGAATTCGTGACTATGCGTTCTGACACGTGTACTTCACTAAGTGGTAGAGTGCATGGCCACGTGTTCCAATGGTTGGGGTAATTAGGTTTTTGATAATGACATCAATGGCTTTGAATATGTTAAAATAGAAAAAATTGGTTAATGGATATTTTAATTCTCTACTTTCTTGAACTCTCTAATTGTCACTATTTGTTTGTTAAGATTAGTTATGCACCCCTCAATCTTTTCCTCATGTCTTATTTACACGGTTTTGTGTATGATGATGTTCCGATACACACTAATAGTTCATTTGCTCTCCATGTGTAGCCCATTCGACCTGCCTCAACCCATACCTATATTGTGCTAGCCCCCTCGAGCTAGGGACGAAACCAAGCTAACCATAACGAAAATCTCTAGTGTAGTAGTGCATGATATGTTTAATGGACAGTGATTTCAGAACTCCTCCCTATGCATGGGCGTTCATAAGTACATCAGCCATGAGTTGTTCACTCACCTCGGCCCACCTGATAAAGTCCTGAGCTTCAACACTTAGGGATCCGAAGTCTCGCTAAATAAACATTTATGTGCCATTGAATTTATACATAAAAAAATTATAGTTTTACATGTATCTAAGTATAGCCATGAGATAGTTCCCTTTTACTCATAAAGCTTTGGATTTGGCTTCATTTTAAAGAGGACGCCATTTCTATGTAAAATTTACTTTTATACAGTTTTCTCGTCCCATATTGAGGACTATACGTACATAGAGGCCTTTTATATACACAGCTTTACAGTAATAAGTTTCCTAACCTATGTATATATATTTTTTTCAATGAAAACAGGGAAGAAAAAATGAAAAAATGAAAAAACAAAACAAAAAAGAAAAGAAAAGCTCCCTCTCAAGTTATTGCCATCTTCTACCAGACTTGAGTCCCATTACAGTTTTTCTAAGACCTGTTACAGAGCAGTAGCTTAATTCATAAAAAGTTCAACATATAGATAAGAATTACATTATGTCTAATAAAAAAAAGAAGTCCCTAAATGCTTAGGTATAGAGACAAAGGGAAAAACATGAATGATCAATGAGAAACATAGAGTTTAAAGAAAGCTTATGGAATATAAATCCTCTTAAATAAATTGAAGAGGAAGCTTATTTTCATTTGGCAAGCAAAAAGAATGGAGGCAAATAAAAGAAATATTAGAACTCTCACATACTTGGTGCTGAGGATGACCTTATAGGCTCCTTGGGTCCTGGAGAACTAGTTGATGATCTTGTAGGCTCCCTGATCCTAGAAACGGCAGTGGCAGATCGGGGCCTGCAAAAGCATGGAGTAGGGATTTTTAAAGGAGAAACAAAGATAAAACCGTTATCAACCCGACCGTGAGCTAAGGTTTTCGAAGACAAAACGACTCACTTTTCCAACTTCTCTACTGGTTTTGGAGTTTGATTGAAATTCAGAGTTGCATCATTTTCTGTTTCAACAGAGAGATCATCATCAGGAATGTCCATTATTCTTTCTTCATATTCTGCAGCTGCAAATCCTAATGGCTCAGCTCCTTCAATAATATTTTGACCTATGTCTAGTGGCCGAAGAACTTCATGATGGTTTTTCACATCATCCATTGAATGAGGCGAATCTACTTCTGAATGCACATCACTATGATCTGATACATTGTCTTCATCTAAACCAGTTTTCTCCATGGCTCCTCCTATGCTCTTCCTGCCCGAAGACTTTGGAGTTCTTGGCATTCCACCGTTCATGTCTTTGTTCGTAGAAGTTGCAATGCGCTTCTCACTGTCGATACCGTTGTGTACATTGTTCTTGAGGTCTTTGACAAGTTGTAGCCTCTCAATCTCCTCATCCCTTTTGCTGATAGTGTCTTTTAGAGATGCCATCTGAAATAGGGACACAGTTATGGTTTTTGATATAAATGATTCTAATGCAAATCAAGATGAGAAATGCTCACCTGGTCCATTAGCTCTTTAACATCCTTTCCTTCCTTGCTGCTCCGTGCTGCTCCTAGCTCGATTCCCGAAACTCTCTCCGCAAACTTTAGTGTGCTCAAAGATTCAGAATATGAGTTCACATCAGGATTAAGCTGTACAAACATGACCGTCTTTGCTTGACCACCTATATCATAGATTCCAAATTTGTACTTGTTTAGAAGTTGTGTGGCAAAATGAGTATATCATCCAAACAAATGAACAACTGAAAATAACTTTGATATGCAGTGGGGAAATAATACCAAGGGAGCTTTGAAGGACTTGAGTGAGCTTGCTATTTCTATATGGAACATGAGAACTCTTTTGTGCAAGAGCAAAAATGACATCTCCAAGTGCAGACAATGATTTGTTTATATGTTGTGCTTCTTTGAGTCGATCTCCTATAACTTCAGAGCGATCGACTCGCTCACTACCAGCAAGATCTACCAAATGAAGATTACCATGCAGTGAGGAACCACCCTTCAAATCCGTCCCACGAACGTGAATAGTCACAATACTGTAGGTTCACATGAAAAATAAGAAAGGAAGAATATGGAGAAGAGAATTTGAGAGTATAATAAAACAAACAAACCTATGTGACCGACTACTTCTTTCATTCATGGCAGTGGCACCAACTGCTCTGTTCTTCAGTCCGATGTCCATTAGTTCTATAACATCTGATGTTGCATTCACTGGAAGCATGGTCGCATCCGGAACCGCAAGTCCGAAAGGTTGGGAATGAGTCAAAATCCCCAGTGTGTGAGAGTTGAGAAAAAACAAGAGATAAACAACAACGTTGGAATAGCAGACCTTAGTTGAAATGAAATAATAAATCAACAAAACTGACTTGCAAATTGGTGTAAACAAGTAAACTGCGTAGTTTAAAAGGATATTTTTTCTGGGAAGCATTGCTTGAAAGTAAATCCCGCACTTGTTCATTATAAATTTCAACCATTTGCGCGCCAACTTCATAGGAAATGGCACCGCTTCTATTTTGAGAGATCTCAAAAAGGTCATTGAGTGCTCGATAATTAACTCCCCAGTTCTCCTTAGTAGCACCATTAGGACCGGTCTTAAAGGAAACAATGTGACAGATAGCATTAGCTAGAGCTCAAAAAAGTTGACTGTATTATCCATACATATAAAGGAAGCATACCATTGTATAGGTCTTTCCCGAACCAGTTTGGCCGTAGGCGAATATGCATACATTATATCCATCAAGTACAGATCGTATCAAGGGTTGGATATCAGAAAAGACCTCCCCTGCATAACACGACAATTAAGAATCGCAAAGATACCTTCTGCCGCTCGAAAATATACAAATATATCCCTATATATATAAGACTACATGTTAAAATGAAAAGAAAGAGACCTTGAGTTGAAGCTGGGCTGTACACCTTGTTAAACTTAAATGCCTTCTGACCTTCTTTCCCAGGCTTGGTTGGGTTTGCTATTACCACTTCTCCATTTTCACCAATGTATTCTACGGTCATCCGTTTGTCTTTCTGCCCGCTCAAAAACGGCCTTATTCGACAATAAACTCTG